GAATTGCACTGCTACTAGCTATATATGTCTCAACAATTTCTTTTGCAGCTATCAAGTAATCTTATCTATTCTTTGTGCAGGGTCAATCAGCGGCATCAAACGATGTACCTCATGACATACCGCAACAGTCGCCGTGGTCTAATTGGTGATTTGCTTCTTTTCATGTGTTGAACTTATTCCTTGTGTTGCACTTATGCTTGTAATGTACTTGTGGTGGATACTTTAAACTCGAACCTTATGTTGGTATTGTGGTATGACATTTGTGTACCATTGTGGATTATTGTGATGTATGTGATATGTGGTGTGTGGAGATAATATATATATGCTGTGAAATGTAATGCAAAAACAAAAAAAAATCAGATTTCTGAGGCTTTGCCGAGTGTTATGACCAAGACACTCAGCAAATATGAAATATTTGTCGAGTGTAGGTATTATCACACTCGGCGAAAAACCATTTTTTAAAAAACCAAATACTGTTTCAAAAATGTTTGCCGAGTGTCTGCCTGCGCGGCACTCGGCATATTATTATCATTTACCGAGAGCAGCACTCGGCGACAAGGAATTCTAAAAACATAAAATATTTAAAAAGAAATTAGTTGCCGAGTGCCTTGCCGTTTGACACTCGGCGAAGTCGCTGTTAACGGCGGGTCCGGCGTTATGACCGTTTCTTTTCGCCAAGAGCCAAACTGCACACAGCAAAAACTTTGTCGAGTGCCTGATAAATGGCACTCGGCAAAGTTGGCTTTGCCGGTACTGTTTATGGCGAGTGTTATTCGCCGAGTGTTACACTCGGCGAATAATTTGTCGAGTGTTTTCTATCTTTTGCCGAGTGTTTCGGGCACTCGACAAACTCAAGGAGTCCGGCAGTGACTTCTACCAACCAAAAGCAAGAAGCTAGAAAAAAAAAGGAGCGCTTGAGTCGACTTCAAAATGCTGAAAAAGTATCATGCTTTGAACAACTTTTCTAGCTTTTATTGGTACGTTGAAAAACTAAAAAATATTAAAAACCAATAGCAAAAAATAGAAACCCAGTTTTCGAGTCAGAATCCTAAAACCTTCAGTTTAAACAAATAAACCCTCATGAATTTGATCATTGTCGACGCCGCGTCGTGCTCGGCTCTGATCCTCACCTCTCACCAGGGAAAGCATGTATGGCCGTGTCAGGATATCCACCTCCGTCCTGCAAGGGAAGATGAGCCTACCGGATTTCTACCTCCGCCTATTGGCAAGGTGCTAGTGCACCTCACACATGGAAGCAAGGGAGGCAAGGGTCTAGTTCAACTCCATGAGGTTCCGCTAGTGGCATGGAGGGGTTGGCGGAACCACATTAAGGCCATGCTGGGCTCTGGCCCCCCTTTCCAAGATCGATTCTGAAGAGCCCAGCTGTAGCACGTACACTAGCTATACACAAGTTTGCTCCTACTAATCTACACAGGCGCATGTTTATAAGTAAGTCAAACTGATCTCAACCTCTCACATGTTGCTCTTCTCCATGCATCAACCCTTATTACTTATGTGCTACTTATCGTTTGTGCAATCAGACTCTTAACCATCTTTAGTTTTCTCGCTATCGCAGCATGCACTTTCCGCAGCGGTTGCAGGGTGGCAATATGTATTCTTGTCAAATTTAGTTTGTTTTTGTCACACTAGTTTTTAGTACAACTAGTTTAGTGTCATTTAACTATTTAGCACGATCGTGGAATTGGCCGCCCCTTGGCTTTAAGACACGCTCCGTCACTGTCGGTGACAATTGTAGAGCTATCGGTACGTCGTCAGAAAATATTTTTTCTATCCTTTTTTTTATTTTTTGCTAACAGGGCAATTCGAGTTCTAGTAGTGAATATTATTCTAAACTACTGCTTGGAACGTATAGAATTGTCCCCAAACACCATGTCGCTAGCTAGAAACCAAATATACACGTAGTGCTTACATATGAGCAGGCGTGGAATACCAGGATGTGGCCGAGTTCTCCCATGCGATCAAGGACAAGATGTTTGATTCTTTGATTGTTTGTTCCTCTGTCGATCTCGTTTCAACATCCATCGTGCGTTCCGTGGAAATTTATTAGGAGAGAGACATGGTAGTACCGTGTTGAAGAGACAATCATATACCATTTGTCAAGTCGTTGAAGAGACATGGAAAAATTTATCAGGAGAGAGACATGGTAGTAATTTCTTGGAAGTTGCCGAATGCTTTCTTATTCGTTGGAGAGTAAAATGCACCCCTAGTCATATATAGCCCGGGATGTTATCCAAGTTCCTAATTAATTAAGCTTCGGAAATATGTATCCAGACTACCTAAATTTACTAATCATGTCACCGTGAGGTCAAAATATAATCTTGATAACTTGAGTTAATCCACCGGCGTGGCATGCCATTGATCGCATGATGACATGGTGGCGCCAACAAGTAAGGCCCACATACCGGTGTCATCTCTCCCCACCGGTATGTGAGCCCCACATGCTAGTGTCATGGCATCACCCTGTCAACATGTCATACCATAGGTAAATTTAACTCAAATTATGTTGATTTGGATCTCACAAGATACTATTAGTAAATTTAGACATGCTGATGTATATTTTAAAAATTTAGAGAACTACATGGCATCCTGAGCCAAATTTAACAACTAGCAGTGCATTTTACATTAATTTGTTGGAACCTGACCGGGCCAGTCAACGGAGCAACTACGTAGTACGTACAAGGAGAAGGGAAAGCACCTGCAAAGGTTCGGTAGACGAACAATATATTGTAGGGTCCGCGCGCACGCAGGCCAACATGCTCTTCTGGTATGCAGCAATTGTATGCATGCGTGGAACGGAATTGAGTGATGTGTCGAGAACATGATGTCCTGCGTGGAATGGAAATGGTTCATAAGCCATCTGATCGAGGATATATTCAAATAAAAAATTTAAACCAAATTATCGAATAGACGACATAGAACGTCTCTTCCCTTATCCATCCTGATCACACATATGCATAGTAAACTACACCACTTTACAATATAATAAGGAAAATAAACACCCAAACTTGATGGCTAAAACATTGTTTTTTCTCCCTTAATTATCGCTCGAGAATTAACTTTGTCTCTGAATTTTTTCAAATAGCCGTTTTAGTCTTTTATAACTTAGGTTTTGGGCTTAGTTTCATCTCTAAACTACCAAAACCAAAGTAACCGTTTCATCCCTTAAATTTTGATTTTAGAGCTTAATTTAATCCATGAACTATTAAAATGGTTCTTTCAGTTTTCAAACTTTTGTTTTCGATACGACTTCATCTCCCTTATCGTAATAGACATGCCACCCCGTCACACCTCGTCAACTTCGGTACCACCATCGACCAGAGATGGATGTACTCTCGTTAGGTGCGGGTGTTGAGAGAACATAATGCGAATGATTACCTTATGGCTGTCATTGCAACTATATAACCCCAAAGTAATCTCACAACTCGCGGGCCTCTGCACGCTGATGCATGGCCAAGCGGCGGGAGAGTACGAGAAACATTGACTCATCCTTCTTTGATAGATGAGAGGCCGGTGTCACTGTAGCTGTAATAGTGGTCATTTCTAGGGTCATCCCATCATGCACACTCGAACTCGTGTCGCTTCCGATGCAGTTGATGCTCATGTGGTGGCTCCGTGTGCAAATCATCACATGCATCGTATGCTCTTATCGACCCAGTCATGTTACCGGCGCATATCCCAATCTCCCTGGCTCGAATTAGTCAGCGGTCCTCTCAAGGGTGACGGTCCATTTCTAGTTGCAAGCGGTGCTAGAGCTAACGAGGCCCGATAATGTGATGTGTGCCACGTAGCCTAGGATGAGGGTTGACGAGGTTGAGCCAAAAAGAAAAGTTTGAAAATTGTAATGTTCACTGATAGTTCGTTATTAATTGGATTCAAAAGGTAAAAAAAATCAAGGATAGAACCGATCATTTTGATAGTTCTAAGATAAAATTAAGATAAAAATTGAAGTTTGAGGGTTGACGTAGTGTTTTATAAGTTTACGGACAAAATTAAGTCTCAAATCATAGTTGTGAGACGAAATGACCATTCCGCCAACTTGACCATGCATGGTTTTATAGGTGCTGCACTTGCACCTGCTTCCGACAAGGTCCACGCTCCGTTCCCCCATGAATGACGCCGAAGTGTGCACTCGACTTATATATATACTGCATTCGTTCTTTAAGTTTTTTTAATTATTTTTTTTCAAATTTATAAACTTCTCTAATGTTAGTAAATTATATACTATACCAAATAAATACCTATCAATGGATTTAATAATGATATTATTTATATGTTGTAGTCTTGTAGATGTACCTGTATTTTTCTATAAGCTTATCTGTTAAAGTTAGAATCGTTTAACTTAATTATATGAAAATAAACGACTCGTGTTTTGAAAACGAGAGTAATGATCAATGCTGTAAAAAGAGTGCTACGGGCTAGAGAGAGGCATTCATCAGGGCTCTAGTACTCTCTAGCCGTACGTGTGTACTTTTTAACACGTTGACAATGGTTTTTTTTACAACAGTTTACAATGATTATTAGACACAATAGAAAAAAGCCTAGTGAAATCCTCGCAAAAAAAAGCCTAGTGAAACGGGTAGCACTAATAAACGAGGTTTCTTCGTCAAGCACTAAGCAGAGATAAACATGAATAATTTTCGAAACAAGGCAACAATTTCGCACCAATGGCGAGGAAATGCAGAGCAAGGAGACGTCGTCCGATAGCATCATGGAGGCCTAGTTGACATGTTTGACAAAAGAAAAACTAATGTCAATTGAACCAATCGGTCCCTCTGGTCGGAACCTCGCGCACAGCACATATATCCGATCCCAAGGAGTGTATATATATATAGACACACACACACACACATCCTCGATCGCCCTGCTTCCAGTAACTCACAACAATCCTGTTTCTCACTTCGTGCACCAGGAACCTGTAGTCGGTTTTGTGCTTCCACATCCAGCAGAGAGCAGACAGCAGCAGAGGAACGACGACGACGATGGGGTTCGTTTACCGGATCGCGAGCCCGTCGGAGTACCTGGCGATCACTGGGTACGGCATCAACGACGTGAAGCTGGCGAAGAAGGCGTGGATCGCGCCGGGGCAGCGCTGCACGCGCTTCGACATCTCCCCCGTGAACTACACGTTCGAGGTGCAGGCCATGAGCGCCGAGAAGCTGCCCTTCATCCTGCCCGCCGTCATCGGGCCCCGCGCCGACGACGAGGAGTGCCTCCTCCGCTACGCCAAGCTCATCTCCCCGCACGACAAGCTCTCGCACCACGTGAACGAGCTGGTGAAGGGCGTGATCGAGGGCGAGACCCGCGTGCTGGCGGCGTCCATGACCATGGAGGAGATCTTCCGTGGCACCAAGTCGTTCAAGCAGGCCGTGTTCGAGAACGTGCAGCTGGAGCTCAACCAGTTCGGCCTCATCATCTACAACGCCAACGTGAAGCAGCTCGTCGACGTGCCGGGCCACGAGTACTTCTCCTACCTGGGCCAGAAGACGCAGCAGGAGGCGGTGAACCAGGCCAAGGTGGACGTCGCCGAGGCGAGGATGAAGGGCGAGGTCGGCGCCAAGGAGCGGGACGGCACCACGCGCCAGAACGCCGCCAAGGTGGACGCCGAGACCAAGGTGTACACGGTGAAGCGGCAGGGCGAGGGCGCCAAGGAGGAGGCCAGGGTCAAGGCCGAGGTGAAGGTGTTCGAGAACGAGAGGGAGGCCGAGGTGGCGGCCGCCAACTCGGAGCTCGCCATGAAGAAGGCCGGGTGGGACCAGCAGGCACGGGTGGCTGAGGTCGAGGCGGCCAAGGCGGTGGCCATTAGGGACGCCGAACTGCAGGTGGAGGTGGAGCGCCGGAACGCGGCTAGGCAGACGGAGAAGCTCAAGGCCGAACACCTCAGCAAGGCCGTCGTTGACTACGAGATGAAGGTACGTAAAAGTAGCCGCATATGCTGACCCCGTGCATTTTGTACTTACGTATATGTATATATATGCACCGTATTGACATTTCTCGTTGAACATGGAAATTGTCATGTTTTTTTCTTTGCAATGCAATCTCTAGATAGCCAATAGATTTTGAAAAAAAAAATCTAATCCTCGCCTGTTCCAGAATATTGATTATTTTAGTATTTTCTAAGTCAAACATTTATGACTCTGATTAAGATTATATATTAAAAATATGTCAATTTTAATATATTTAATAACAAATAAACACAATTTTAATGAAGGTACGTAGCCATATATGCTGACCCGGTGCATTTATTTCGTATTAAAATATGAAAAAGGCTATATATCTATCAATAGATTTTCTTGTTTTTTATCTATCCGATTCTGGGCTGTTTATTTTTTTTAAGATCTGTGCTATCCTCTGGGCGGACTGTCTAGCTATCAACTGACACAAATTTTGACCAATAAAAAGATGACAACTTAGGGAAAAAAAACTGACTCTGTACTGCTAGGTTCAAAAACTTTGAACTATCATATTATAAATCTTGCACCGCTAGATTTAAAACTTTACACTCAGGATTTATAAACTTTGAACTATGACATTATAAACTTTATACTTCTAGGTAGAAAGCTTTGAACTATGACATTATAAACTTTGTGCTACTAGGTTCAAAATTTTACACTCAGGATTCATAAGCTTTCAACTATAATATTATAAACTTGTACTGCTAGCTTCAAAACTTTAAACTATAACATTATAAACTTTGTACTGCAAGGTTCAAAACTCAAACGCAAAATTCAGCAGATATAAAGCCAATAAAACTGTTGATAGATTTATATGTGCTGTCATATTTTCTTTTGGTGAGCCATCTTCTTTTTTGATTGGCAAAAAATCTGACAGATTTTGACAAAAGAAATTTGTCCCCAGATCGCTAGACAAACCCTTAAAATATAGGAATATATATTGGCCCATGCATTTATTGAACTAACAATATTTATTTTAATTAGTGGCTGATTTTATATTAAACTAATATGATGTTGTAGATGTTAGTGTATATTTTACTCCTGACTTGAAGTGAAAAGTTACTCCAGCTCCGGTATATTTAGCATTTGGTTTTTTATCATTTCTCCATCCGAGGTCGTTTCAAAAATTCAAATTTTATTGTGCTGCACCTAATTTTAAAGATGGCTCTAGATACAGTCGTCTCTACAAATCTATTTTTACAGACAGTTCTAGATTCAACCGCCTTTTGCAATCAATTTGTAGATGCGGTTCCATCTAGAGTCGTCTCTAAAGATAAGGGCATTAGTAGAGGCGGTTAAAAATAGTAACTGCCCTTATAAATACATTTATAAAGGCAGCTCGTTTGAGGAACCATTTATAGAGATGGTTGTAGATTGAGTCACCTCTGTTCAAAAAATGAGTCTCTACAAATCATATCTTTAGTAGTGTCTGCCACATAGCACCATGGTAATATGACACCTTCAGTTCAGCCACACTGAATATTATTTTTGTTACACTAACTTGACATATTTTTAATACACCAAATGGCTAATACAAGTGGTTGTGATTTAGCCTAAGCTCTAGGAATATTGTCCATAGCTTAAAACAAATACGTTCACTAAGTATATTGAATTTATAATACATAAAATGATGATAACAACTGACATCAGAGGCACAAGTACATCTACTCAAAAGGTAGAATGCATCAAGCACCACTACAACAAAGCTTGGAAAAACATAGATTTCAAATAACAATGAAAACATAATATGTTTATGGTCATGACAACAAAAAATCTAACAAAATTATGAGATGTGGGGAATACAATGTAACCACATATTTGGATCAGAAAACTAAGCATGATCGAGTTACTTTAGGTTGCAATGATCATTAAATAACATATTCATATTTCACAGTACCAAAATTTACATGATAAAATAGAAACAAAGTAAATTAACCAATTCTAGCTTTTAGAAAAATCATAGGATAAAAAATGGATTAGAAGAACAAAATGTATGCACAGCTAACATATGAAAGTTGTGACAAAGCAAATCATATATTCAATTTTAAAATGATCAAGGAACATTAACATATTTTCTTAGAAATCATTAAGCTTCATATTTCTATTAATATGACCAACTAACTCCACGGCATACAAGAAACAAAACTACACTTCACTTCAAAGAAGTTTAGATTAATGTATAGTTTATTAAAAATAAATACTCATTACTTACTGTTCGAGACATAAACATATAGAAGAAAGAAGTTAGTAAAAAGATTTATTAACTTCTAGAAATGTAGCTTATAAGACACAAATGAACTAATTAAACTTTTACAATAAGCAAGTTACATACACATATAAACTATAAATTCATCGAATTGTAACTAGATTATGATATATGTGAACTGCAAAATAAAATAAGTCAACAACAACGATGGACATCCTTTCTGACTCGCACAAACTTTAATAAAAAAGTTCAGATATACACTAATAACAATCCTTATAAATTTAAGAAATTGAAATTTTAGTAATAATAATGATGATGATTTAGTGTATCACATGAAAATAAATGCACTTAAAACCAGGAAAAACACATAATGAGAATTAATCATATTTTTGTGAGAAAACAAGCATTAATGATATGATAATATCAAATCCCTAATAAAACCCTTGAAAATCAAGGGTAAAACCCTAAATCCTGAGAGGGAAATGGAGAAGGATGGACATGACGAACATGATACGCAAGGGCTCCTTACTATTATTCTAGAGAGAGAAAGTAGAGAAATAAGGAAGGATGAGAGACGAGCATTAACAAAAAGAAAATACAACCTCATTATAAAAAAAAGAAAAAGAAACCCCATCCTAACAAAAATAAAAATATAACAACACAACACTCATATAATAAAGCATATGCAATGGTATAAGATCGAATTTTTCTCATAAAAGTCACCCGAGAGATAAATGACAATTGCCCTTTTAAAAAGTTTGTATATTTTGTACTACATTTGTTCAAAAAAGAGTGGATCAACCATCTTAAATTTGATCAAGCTTATAAACAATAAAATAATATTTATGATAGCAAACAAATATTATTAGATTTACCATCCAATATATGCAGCTACATTACATAAAATTTAGGATAATTTGACTTAGAATAAAACTAGAAACGGTGATTCTAGCGCCCGGACATCCGGCGCGCGAGTGCGTCTGGACGCTGGTCCCTTATGGAACCCCCGCCCTCCCCAGCCAAGACGAACCTCCCAAGAGAGAACGGAACCGCCCTGTCCTCTCGCTCCCCACCGCGCCCCTATCCCCTGTTCCCCAACGCACTTCGCTTCCCCACGACGCCCCTGACCCAAAAGAGCATGAAACACTTCAACTGCAACATTGCAAAACATATAGAAAACTATGTAGTGCAACATCGGGTTGTAAATACTGCAACATTGAAAAAAAATATGTAGTGCAAGATTGAAAAACATGCACTGCAACATTGAAAAATATGTACTACAACAACGAAAAATATGCACTGCAACATAAAAAAAATGTACTACAACATCGGAAAACATGTACTACAATATCAAAAAAATATGTACTGCAACATCAAAAATTATGTGTTGCAACATCAAAAATTATGTGTTGCATCGCAAAAACATCTGTTGCAATGACCCAAAAAATCTCATTGTAACATTTGAAAATCATCTGTTGCAACTTCCCAAAACGCACATTGCAACATGGGAGAAACAAAAAAAAAACGTACAAAACAACCCCTGTCACATCGCGTTCGAGCTCGCCGGAGAGAGGAGGGAATAGGACCCAAGAGCTCGCCGGAACCCTAGCCACTGTCGCGTCTCTCAGATCCGGAGGAGGAGGAGCGCTAAGATCCAGAGGAGGAGGAGGGCTCAGATACAAATATGACCAACCTACCTCGCCGAAGCCGCCATCGTTGTCCTCGTCTCCGCTGGAGGTCGCATGGAGGTCGCGGAGGGGGGAGGGAGGGAGGGGCGGCAGCGACCTAGCGTGCGGGCGCAGCGTCCGTCCCGAACGTGGCTCGGAGAACGGCGCGTGGCGTGGTAGCGAGTGGGTGCGGAGGAGGGACGGAGCGGGCGAGCAGAGCGAGCGAAGGGGCGCGAGGGGTCACGGACGGGATGGGATAAAGCACGGAAGTCGTGGGCGCTCGGTCTCGGTCGAGTCGTTCCGTGTGCGAGTCCATACGGACGCCCGTACGTGAAATCGATGTCAGAAGGCATGTATATTTCTGCGTATATCTTCATAATATAATATGTGTAGGTTCAACAAGCAAACTGGGAGCTGTACAACAGGCAGAAGGCCGCGGAGGCGCGGCTGTTCGAGCAGGAGAAGGAGGCGGAGGCACGCCGGGCGGCCGCCGAAGCGGCCTTCTTCGCGCGGCAGCGCGAGGCCGAGGCGGAGCTGTACGCGAAGCAGAAGGAGGCCGAGGGGCTGGCGGCCATGGGTCAGGCCCAGAGCGCCTACCTCTCCGCCATGCTCGGCGCGCTGGGCGGCAGCTACGGCGCGCTGCGGGACTACCTCATGATCAGCTCGGGCGTGTACCAGGAGATGGCCCGCATCAACGCTGACGCCATCAAGGGGCTCGAGCCCAAGATCAGCGTGTGGAGCAGTGGCGCCAGCGGAGAGGTCGGCGATGCCAGCGGCAGCGGCGGCGCGATGAAGGAGATGGCTGGTGTGTATAAGATGCTGCCGCCGCTGCTGACCACGGTGCACGGGCAGACCGGGATGCTGCCGCCTGCGTGGATGGGCACTCTGACGGACCGCCCGTAGACGTCTAGCTGAGCTGAGCTAGATGTGAAGCTTTGCACGCGTTTGCCAGGCGACTTTGCTAAATGTACATCTTCGATTATCCCGTTCGACGACGTTCGGTCCTGCATAGTACATTTTCGGTCGATTATCCGTTTGTGTGAAGTTTAATTGGATGTGCTGAATCAGAGACCTCGCCTCCCGTCATTAGTTGTGTTTTACTGTATGTGTAATGTGTGCTTGCTACATTCGCTTGTACAAGATGTAGTGCGTGGGCTTGTAACTTGTACATGGTCTCCTTGGGTTTGACATTACTTTTAAGTGTGCGTGGACATTTTTATGTCAAAATAAAATCATTTGAGCCTCCTTAACGTGGTGCATGTAATTGTACAATTGTTAGGAAGCAGGAAGTACATTTTTTAAGTTAACTTAAATAGAAGTTCATATACAATCACACACAATAAGAACCTCACAGAAACAGGTGGTCTCGCGACTGATGATGGACATGTTCCATCACAGAAAGCATATATATGACTCCTTTGGTATACAAGAACCATATACGAATTTCACAGGAATCGATTTATTTTTATTTTTATAAGAAAAACGTAGGAAATAGAAAAAGTTCATGGCGTTCCATAAAAAGCCTAAGTGATGGAAGATTTAAATTCGAGCGAACAAGTTCCATCAAAAGAAATATAACTAACCAAGTTATCCTCACTTTAGTATGAGCATTTTTAATTGGTAGTTGAACATCTTTATATGCTATTTTTTTTCTAATGTGAACTGACAGGAAAGCTAGCGCTAAATGTTATATTAAAAAGTAGACAATCCAAAGAAGGGTACGAGAACAACTCAAACACTGAAGAAGGCATTCCAAGTGCTTTGCTCCTGTCGTTATACAGAGTTGCACTTCTTTGATTTTTTTTAGCACTCTACACTACTACGTAAACGAGATTTTCAAAGATGTATTTTTTTCTCTAGAGGTGGCTGCATAAAAAAACACCACTACGGTGGCCCAACTGATGGATCATGTCTCTGGAAACGACATTCGTTCCTAGGGACTGGTCGACGCCCCTAGAAATAATCCATGAGAATGTGGCCCATTATATAAGCATCCACACTCTTCCTCCTTCGAACAAAACTGTAGCCCAAAGAGAAAAAGAAAGAGTTTACAAGAGCACAACTCTAAAAGTGAAAATCAAAGGAACGAAGGATTTGCAAATCTAGAATTGCAGCAAATGTAGCAAGGACTATACTACCACTTAAATCACGCCAAGGAGAATAGGCACCAGGGTAACGCAACTCGTGAGTCCAGGTCTCTGACATATGTGACATTCTCAAAGTTACCGCTATTTTCTCACAAGTCAATTTGTAAAGACTTACCATAGAACATGAATTGTATGAAGAATCGGTCTCTTGGAGTTCACAGGTAGCAAAGACTCAACTCAGTGCTGAGTTAGAGCAAATCCATTTCCAATCTTGTTTTGGCAAGATTAATTAAAAACGCTCTCCAACAACTCCATATCCACTACAGGAATCGGCCTCTTTGCCGACTGCCGAAAGCGATCGGCAAAAGGTCGAAAAACGGTCAAGCAAAGGCTTTGCCGACCGTTTTCGCTTAAGCGATCGGCAAAGGGTGCCGGAGAGAAGATGTCGGAAAGAATTCTTTTCCGATCGCCCTCCGGACAAAGCGATCGGTAAAGGCTTCCCGACGGTAGTATAACCCGATCGGTAAAGACTCCGTCGCCGTCCGTCTCCGTCTCCTTTGCCGACCGCCTTCCCAGCGCGTCGGCAAAAGCTTTCGATCGCCAGAGAAAAAGCGGCCGGCAAAGATTTTTCCGATCGCCAGAGAAAAGCAATCCAAGACCGATCGCTTTTCTCTCCGGCAATCGAAAAGGCTTTGCCGACCGCTTTCTCCGGCGATCGAAGAAGGCTTTGCCGACCGCCAGAAGGCGGCTCGGCAAACCTGGTTTTGCAATTTGTGGTGCCCGACTTTTGCCGATTGCCAGGCTTCTAAAAGCCGGAAATTTTTTTTTTTCTTTTCTCTCCTGTTTTTCATATACATACATATCACACTTTAAAGTACACAGATCACACATTTATATATATAAGCCAAATGCACGCATATATAACACGAATTCACATATAGATCACATCCAAGCATCCATAAGCATTAATATCCATACAGTCCACAGATCATCGAAACATAAAAAACAAGTGCGCAAGTCCAACATCAAACCAAAAGAACTTCACTCCTCGTGCGACCCACGGTCCCTATGCTCATCCTGAACTGAAGGCCACGAAGACCATGAGGACTGGCCTTGCTGGAGCGGCGCCGACGTGTAGCGGTGCTCCCACCCGGTGTGCGCGTGGTGGGTATGTGGCAGAGGGTAGCTCACCGCCGCTCCGGTCCCGTACTGTGGAGGCCGAGGAAGACCGCCACTCGGAGGCCCGAAGTATGTCGGAGGCGAAACAACCTGCCACCCAGGAGAACGTCCATCTGGAGGAGTCGGGTTCGAACCCGCTGACATTGACTGCACAAAGTAGACATGATCTCATTAGTAGCTACACAGACCTCGTGAAAACAATGGAGACCAATATATATACTCACCGTACTCCCCGTAGGGTCAATAGGTGCTGGACCGAACATCGTGGCGGGTAAAGGAGGCATGACAGCACCAGGGATCTGAATGCTCTGAATGTAGCTGGCAAAGTCCTGCCTCCAGCGCAAAGCCTCCTGCCGATGGGCCTCCTCTCTGGCCGCTATCTCCCGCCGATGGGCCTCCTCTCGGGCCTCTGTCGCGGCCCGCAGCTCGGCCAGCTCGGACTGCAATGTCACACCCAGGTAATTAGGTACATATGTAAAACCAATTAACGAGGAATGGAACCAAGGTACCGAACCGCTAAACGTGGGCCGGCCGCCGACGGCGTATGGGGACGTCGGAGGTCGTGCTGGTGGACCTACGAATCTGACGAAGGCTAGGAACGTTGGTCGGATCGATTGCGTTGTTGGCAATCGAGTAATCGCCGTCAAGGTTTCCTCCTCCCGCCCTCATCACGAGGTCTGCATGTCCGTGGGCTGCTTTGGGTTGGATCGTAGTCCGGACCATAAGGCCGGGCGAGCCGCCTCGGTGTCACGGCCATCTTTTCATAGACGTTCGGGTTGGTGTACGCCTCGGGCCCATCTGCCGAGCTGAAGACGTTGTTCGGATCAGACGCTTTGCCCTTGTTCGACAAAGCGTAGCCCTCGTACAAGTTGATGACCTGCCCGTCATGGTAGCGGGACTGCAAGGAACACACAAGGACGATTACACGTAATGAGATAGAATAAATAAATAAATAAATAAATAAATCGACAGAAGCTTACCCATGCGTCCACAAGATCGTCCGAGGGAGCGGCTCTTTGGTGGTGTGCCGCCCTTGCCTCATCTTGGCACGTTCACTTCGATCGCGACGCTCCTCATACGACTCCGGCGTTCTCCAAAGCGTCCACAATGGCCTCCCAAAGAAGCCCATGTATGTTTTGCACCATTCAAAGAGAAACTACATGACATGGCGTAAGATGAATCGATAGTAACGCCTTCTACTTCATTTGCATGGAAGGAATCATAAGCAATGTTCCTTAATTACCGCATGTAGATGTCCTTGGCAACGCCGGTCTCGTGGTAGTGGAGCATCTTCTTGGCGTCCATGGTGGCGACCTCTCAAGCTTCACGTCGGGTAGTAGGTGACGAGGACTTGGGCGTGCGCCTCGTAGTACATGTCCTTCACCCAGCGCCATGGCGGCCCGGTCCCGCACCACCGACGCCTTGGGTCCTCGTACCCTCGTCACATGTGAACCAGTCCTACATGTTTCATTAGTTCAAAACGTCCAAATAATGTGTATCGACAAAGCAAAGGTAATAAGAACTCACCCAAAACTCCATCTTGATCTTTGTCGCGATGGGGACCTCGTGCGTCCTTGACTTTGTAGAAGTCCGACCAATGCCAAGGCACCACCTTGGTCCCGTCGTCGAGTTCGATAAGGCCAGGGTAGTGCTTCTTAATCAGGAGGCCCAGCATGCCATTCGCTTTGAGGCCCAGCATAAGCAAGTAGTAAAACCAGGCATTGCATCTACATGGCGTTCCTACCTGCTAATAGGTGAAGGATAGGTCCTAATCCCACCCGCGGATGCGTAGATGGGTTAGCTTCCATGCATGCCCACGTCTGAATCGGAATTTCGGCAAGATTTTCCTCATTGTTCTCCGGATACACGTCCCGTAGGGAGTGTGTGTATCCGGAGAACAACCGGGAGGTGCAACCGAAACTACGACTCAGACATGAGCAAGACATGGAAGCTAACCCATCTACGCATCCGTGGGCTGTCCAAAAAACGTGGACAATCCGAAACAGATACGGTTGGAAGTACTACTTCCAACTGTATCAATTTCGGACGGGAGACACCTAACTTGGTGACGCGACCTAGACCATGATACGGGAAGAGGGGTTATACCTAAGGTGCCGAGGTGACGCTGTGCAGGCCGACGACCAAGGCACGGGGCTACTTCGGATCCGCGCTTTTCTGAAACACAACAAAACAATATAAGTACAAATTTTCGGCAGAACCTCCCTTGTACGGAGAGGTTTCGAAACACGCAAAAAGAATTCAACATCACATACACGGCTCGATGGCCGACATCACATACACGGCTCGATGGCCGACATCACATACTACGGCTCGATGGCCGACATCACATACACGGCTCGATGGCCGACATCACATACACGTTGATCAACACATTCCTCACACAAACTCGTTGATCTGACACTTGTTTTCGCCTCAAAATTCAAAGACGGTTTCTAAGAGGGTGGGGGCGCTAAATAATAGAAGGCTAAAAATGCAACTAGCCAGATACTAATAGATATTAACAAATAACATAAATGATGATATCTATTCAAAGTGCTCTTATGCCCTACAAGCTACAATATGACCAAATCACTAAATATTCAAAATCGAAAATAGAAGCCGATCTCGGATCTCAAGAAAACAAGAGGGCGGAGCTCACCGAGATGTGCAAACAGCAGAGATGACAGATGCAGGATCGCAGGAGCTGAGGAGCAGGGGGGCAGCGCCGGCCAGTCGGGAGCAGAGTTCAAGGCGTGGCACGGCCGGGCCACGGCGGAGGGCAGCCGGCGGGAGGCGGCTTGCCGGCTTGGCCGCTTGGGGAGGAGACCAAGAGAAGGCAAGGAGGAGAACGGGCGGCGCCGCAGCGGGCAGCGACAGGGAGAGCCCGGAGGACGAGCGCCGGAGGCCGGACGGAGTAGCTGGGAGGGGAGATGGCCGGCGGGAGGGGGGGTCTGGCCGGGCGCAGGGGGGACGAGGTCGGGCAGGCGGTGGCCGCTGCCATGCCACACGGCACACGGCGGGCGGGGCATGGCAAGGCACAATGCATGGCATGTGCATGGCAGCGGGCCAGCGGCATGGGCAAACGAACGCGGCGGGGAGGGCACAAATGGCCCTACACATGGCATGCCTTGCGTGCGTGGATCCAAGGCGCATGTGTGGCCATGTGGCGTGGTATGGGCGCGACACACGGTGTGGCAGGCCATGGCGTGGCGAAGGCGGGGTCATGGGCAGTGGCTGGTCATGGGGGGGGGGGGTGTGAGTGGATAGGGTTATCCCTTCCTTTTTTTTATTTTTTTAAAACAACAGAGCCTTTCCCGACTGCCGTAAAGCGGCAGTCGGCAAAGGCTTTACCGACTGCATACAGTCGGCAAATCCTTTGCCGACTGCCTCCCCACGGCAGTCGGCAAAGATTTTTTTTTTTTGGTTTTTTGGTTCCAATTTTTTCCTGTGGGCTAAACATATTGTTTCAAGTACAATGTACAAATTTGGGACCTTTTGATGATATTTTGCTATATTTTATACAATTATTTTATTTCCTTGCATTTTCTCGCATAGTCCAAATTTAAAGCTATGCATTGCATAAAATAATCAACCATGCATGAGCCCACCATTAGAAAAATAATATTCATGTTGAAGAGTGTATTTTTCAATTATACCATTACATGAGCCACCAAAACTTGGCACGACATCATGATATCGTATGTGGAGACTATGGTAAAAATTGAAAATGTTTCAATTAGTTTCGTTGTTTGCGATGTCCAAAATCTCGATATATCTCACATGTGATCACATATGATATCACATGTGAGATATGGGAGTTTTGGACATCGATGACGAACTTGCTCCAAACATCGCCAAATTTTTACCATGGTATCCGTGATATGATAACATGACACCTCGCCAAGTTTCGATTTTCAGACATCGCTTGGATTTTTATAATTAAAAATACTAATACCAAGACGGATGGTCATCTCACAGGACAAGACCTTCAATTTTTTGAGTGGGTTCATGTACATGGCCTAAAAATACACTCTTCAACATGAATATTATTTTTCGAACTACATCGCTTTTATTATTTCATGCACCGCAGCTCAAATTTGACTATGCGAAAAATGCAAGGAAATAAAATAATTGAATGAAATATAGCAAAATATCATAAAAGGTCCCAAATTTGAACATGAGATTTCAAACAATATGTACGCCTACGAAAAAAACTGGATAAAAATAATAATAATAAAAAATTTTTGCCGATCGCTGTGGTACTACAATGCAAGAAGACTTACTATTTGCCGATCGCCTAACATGGCGCTCGGAAAGAGCTTTTTGCCGATCGCCTTTCCTTGGCAATCGGCAAAGAGGGCAGGCCTTTGTCGATCAAGCTAACGGAGGGCGGTCGGCAAAAGCCGACGGCCTAATTCCGTCCCGTCTCACCCACTTTTTGCCGACGGCCTGTTTTTGCCGATCGTCTTTTGCAATCAAGAAAGACCTCTTTACCGACCGCCACCTTTTTGCCGATGCGCTTGAGAGGCTTTGCTGTTGATCGCTAGCTTCTTTGCCGATCGCCAGAGAAAAATAATCAAGAAGAGAGTTTTGCCGATCGCCTCGAGAAAGGCGGTGGGAAAGAGATCAGCGATCGGCAAAGCCTGATTTTCCTCGTAGTGATCTCAACTCCCAATCTATTTTGCACTTGAGAAAATCTCAATCTAGTCTAGAGGTAGAAGGAAAATCCCAATCCTTTTGCACTTGGGAAAATCCCAGTAGAAAGAAAATCCCAATCTAGTCTAGAGGTAGTAGAGGTAGAAGGAAAATCTCAATCTAGTCTAGAGGTAGAAGGGACATGGGGATGAATAAGAGTAAGGATAAGGTTATTAATGCAAATGTATTGTACAAGGGATAAAGAAAGTGTAAAAGTGGTTAAGTGATTTGAAAATAATTAGGATTCCTAATGCAAAATTGTCTTCTATTTTTAGAAGCAACATTTTGTAATTTGTTAGAGCTTCCAATTTTTTTTAGCTACTTCAAAAACTCATGATTTACCAATTATTTTTTAGATCTATGCTAGCTCTTACCTTCTCGTGTCCTGCCTCTGCGGTTTAGATGTACTAGTAGTACTCTGGTGGGATGACAATTGACACCGGGATGCGCTATCATGCTTTTACGAAACGCAACTTCACCTGTCAAGTCTCAATGAGACAACTTATGCTCTGACGAGATGGAGATGCGCGGATACGGGTGATTGTCTCGACACACCAGCACTCAAAACTCGCTACCGTGTAGTATATTA